GGGGGGGTGTAGGCCACGCCGAACTTGGACGTGCAACAGGTGAACTACTACTCACGCGGTACGCCGGGGCCGGGGACGGGCATCCCCTCCTCGTCGTGGACGCCGTTGACGCCGTTGCCGTTGCCGTTGGCCACCCTGTTGAGGGGCACGGCGGCGCCGTCGTTGTCGGGGTAGGTGGTGGCGCCGTTGCGCTGGTCTTGCGGCCCCATGATGGCGCCGAAGGTCGATGTCGTCTTGCCGGGTGGAGTGAGTGCTGGCTCCGCTGCCTCCGCTGGCTCCTAGCACCCTGCTGCTGTTGCTGTTGCCGCCGTCCTCTCCCGACTCATTGCCCTCAGTGCCGCCGCTGCTGCCGCAGTCCGCGCCGGGGCCGCGCCGGGCCTCGCGCGCTAACGCCTTCACCCTTATCTCTCTCTCACTCTGTCGTGTCGCTCGCCTGCTGCTGAGCCGCGCTGTGTTGACTCTGTGGGCGGCGCGCGGGGGAGAGAGAGAAGGGCGGCGGCCCGGGAGGGGTGGCCTCCTAGTGCGCGCCTAGCCCCCGCCGCCGCGGACCTGGCGGGCCGTCACCGCTGCAGTGGCCGTCGCCGCCATGCCAGCAGGCCAGAGCACCGCCGCGGGGTGGAGCGGGCACCAGGCAGCAGGCACCGGCACCAGGAGGAAGAGGAAGACGCTGGGCCGCGACGCGACGAGGAGTGGCACTCGCGGATGGCCGAACCGTGCTGAGCGTGCAGAGCGTGCAGAGCGTGCTGAGCGTGCTGCCGCGCCGGTCACTGTTGCGCTGCTGAGCCGCGGAGCCGGACCGACTGTAAGCCCAAGTCAAGCAGCGCCAAGCCTTTGGCCGGCCGGGTCTGAGGGGTCCTGGTCCGTAGCGAGGCGAACCAACACTGCGCTGTGGCCCCAACGGCCCCGACCAACTCGTCGGCGCCTCGGTCGCCGTCGCGCCGCCGACCACGTGTGTGAACAGCTGTGCGGGCGTGGCGCGGCGTAGCTGCGCACGGCTCGGCGGGGCTTGGCGGGGCGCGGGGGGGCTCCCCGCGAGGCCCCCGCAGCCCCACCGCTCCCCCCTGATCCGGCGCGGCCCGGCCCGGCCCGCCGGCTGCCCGGCGACGAGGCAACCACGGCCCCCTCGATGACGTCAAGTCGAGCAGCACGATGGGGCCCCAGCCCAGCCCGTGAGGGAGCCAGGAGGCCGTGGCCGGATGACGGGGGGCCCAACGCGTGGGCGCCGCTTCCGCCCGCCGCGTTGGCGCGGCGTTCAAACCGATCCTTCGGGTCGACGCGCGCCGCGGCCGACAGGGGGGCCTGCTCGCGAGAAAGCGGAAACTTGCGCTCCGCATGGCGACATCCACTCAGCATAATGGTATCCGCACCGCTTGTGCACTCGGCCCGTGCGGGGTCAGCGGGGGGCAACGAGTCCCCGCCGCGCTGGGCGCCGAGCGCCGAGCTGAGCGCCGAGCTGAGCGCCGAGCTGCACACAGCAGCGGCACCATTTCGGAAGGCGGCGGCCCCTACCCACCTCTCTGCGCCCCGCCGCCCGCCCACGCCCCATTCCAGGAGATGAGTCCTTGGCGGTCCACGGACGGACACGCGGTGGACACGGAACACCGGACGGGACTCGTCTCCTCGGCCGCTCTGTCTCTGTCTCGCTTATGCTGCTTTCTGCAGTTCGGGCTGGGCTCACCTGCGAGCCGCGCGGTCAGGAGCTGCGTGGTGGCGGTCAGGGTTCGCTCCCGCGCAAGGCCACCTCGCCGCCCCGCGCCGCCCCGCACCGCATCGACGAGCATCCTAATCAGGCGATCGCGGTGACTGGCAGAAGTCACCTGACCTGCTCTCGCGAAGCACTTCCGCATCGTCCCGCCCGGCCCGACCCGGCCCACCTGATTGCACATCTGGCGGCCAGGGTTCTGCAGCTGATCGCGTCGTCCTGCAGCATCTGCTGTATCCTGCCGACACGCCTTTCTGATTGCCGCTCATGTGGCCGTCATGATGCTGCAGCAGATCACGCCTCCGTGGCCCGTGCGAGTCGTTCTTCCCCCTGGTTCAGGCGTGCGGATGGGTCGCATGCTCGCTCGCACGGGGCCGTAGGGCACATCGGTGAGCGCGACGATAGGCAAGGCATTTGGGACAGAATAAGAAAGAATGGACGGTCGGTCGCGAAGATAATGACAGAGAGGGAGAGAGTAAGAGCAGAGGAGAGGCGGAGAATTCGGTTCGGTCCGAATCAGTCCCCTGCATCTATCTATTTATGAAACGCACACAGACCTAGACGAACCCGGCGTCGTTGATGGACCCCGAGCGTCTCCGTCCGTCTGTTTACTTGTCCGTTTTATCTCTCCCTTTTTCTCCCGGTGTGTCGTCCACGCCTGAATGGCTGTCCGTGGTGGAGGGAGAGGGTCTGAGGGGTGAGTGAAGTTGCATGTCGCGGCTTATCTTATCTCTCTGCTCGGGGTGCAGCAGCGGCAGTGTCGAAGGCGTCAGGCCAAGAGGCGCCCCCCGCCCCCCTCCCCCTCCCCTCCCCGCATCAGCCGACTAAGACCGACGTGTCGATTATTCGGAACACTTCGCTGGCGCCCAGAAGCCCACCCATATCCCCAACTTTTAACTTTTTTCAGATCACGCTTGGGAACATCTCTCTTCCTTCAGACGTAACCGAGATTGTGTGGGCGCTTGGCCGTGAGGAGCAGCTAGCCACAGGAGGGAAGACCTGACACGATCTCCGCCCGGACCTGGCCGGCCCGTCTCAAGTCTCAAGATAACGCAGTGCGCGGTTGAGGAAGCCAGAGGAGAGATTGCAAGTTTTTGTAATACGTCCCAAGTAGAGGAGGAGAGAACACCGCCGCAGATTCGACCATCAATAATTTCGTTTAAAACTGTTTCGGTTCGTTTCCTGGTCACTCCAGCCCAGCCCGACCGGCAACATATGTGGGCGAGAGGGAATGCACGCGCGGCGCGGCGTGCGGGCGGGTGCCGGCGGCGAGGGGGTGCCGCAGCCCTCCGCTAGATGGCGCTGCCTGGCACCGCGGGGCAGCTCCGGCCGCCAGGCTGCGACTGGCGCCGGAGTTGGCCGTCCTTCCCTTGCCGCCCTGCCCTGCCCCACCCTGTGCCTCTGGCGAAAGTTAATTCCCAAATGTAAATGTGCGTCAGGGGGTAATGGTATTTGTCACCCACGTTAAGTCTCACGGAGGCGCGGGCGGGAGAGAGCGAGCGAGAGAGAGAGAGGGAGGGTATGGAGAGCAGGTGCGAACACGCAGGCCGACGCGACGCAGCGCCGACACATCAACAGAACACTTTCGTGGTGCGGGCGAGGAGGAGGAGGAGGGGGAGAAGGATGAGCACCAGAGTCCCGGAGTGAAATGGCTGGGGTGCACATGTGCGCGTGTCTCTCGTCGCGACAGAAAGGCATACGCGAGAGGAAGGAGGAAGCAGCTGCAGCGGCAGCTGGCTGAGGGGTGTAGCTGGGTACGTACCTCCTCCTCCCCCACCTCTCCTTCCATCCACCCCGCGCTGCACGTCGCCGCATCCCTTCCCACTCACATTAAACGCAGCCGCTAAAGATATCGCCGCACTTAAAACCCAATTATGCTCCGAGGAGTACTGCGGGGGTAGCAAGCGAGCGGGTGAACTGCCCCCCCCCCCTCCGTTTTGCCCCGCCTAGCCCCGCCTCGCACCGCCCCGCCCCGCGCGGCCGGGAATGCTCCTGGGACTCGGCCGCCCTCCTCCCCGCCGCGTCCCGGTGCCCTGCTCCTGCTCATCCTCGTGGACACACGTCGGGGTTGTGACTCCCACCCCCCCTTCCCCTCCGCCGGGGGGCTCTGCGAGGTGCGGGCTGTAAAGATAGCGCCAGCCATCACGGCCCGGGCCGCCGCGTGCATCGTGGAGAGTGCACTACTTGATCTGCAAGCGAGGCGGGCGGGGCTGGAGGCGGGGGCTGGAGGCGGAGGCTGGAGGCGGAGGCTGGAGGCGGAGGCTGGAGGCGGAGGCTGGCTGCGCAGGCCCAGCAGCGGATTACGCCGCGCTGCAGCAGCGGGAGCGGCGTTATACTCCCGAGTCCTCCATCCAGCCATGCCACGCCGGGATGGAGACTGAGTGCTCGTGCGCTCACGCTCAGCGCGCGCTCTGCCCTGCCACGCCCTGCCACGCCCCGCCACGCCCTGCCACGCCCTGCCACGCCCTGCCACGCCCTGCCACGCCCTGCCACGCCCTGCCAC